AAATACAGATCTTATTATACAAATTACAATGTATAAATGAATTTATACAAAACTGAACAGTTTGTATAAAATTGGATGTATCTAGCGAATTATACAAATCAAAAGCTCCATAGCAAACATAAAATTTGCTATGGAGCGCAATTATGGAAGCTATAGCTATAACATACAAATATGATTTTTATGTTTGCTATATGTGACTATATTATATTCTAGCTTAGTAAAAAAAAAGTAGAGTAAGTTTTATATATTGATAGTATAAATAGTGTGTACTATTAATCAATTCCAACATCCTCCATGAATGTACGTAACTATGTCTAATATAACATGACATGAATCGTACAATTTACACCTCCATTACATCAAATGATTGGTGAAACTCGTATTTTAAAAGAAACTGAACTAATAAAAACAACGATAGTGTTGCAGTTTCCGCGTCTAGATACCTTTAAAGCTGTCTGTTTCAAGTCTCGAAGTGCCTGAGCTCGAAGACTCTCCCATTGTAACGGGAGAGGATGCTGCACGTCGCTCCTGCTTCAATGAAGTTGGTAATCCTGAGACCTCCTGAAGAAAGTTGAATCAAAGCAAAACAATACTTAGGACCAATTACAACAACTTTATCGCTAGTGCACGAGTGATCCTTTCAGACTGTTTACGATGTTTCTTAAAAAGTAAAGTGTAAATATGATCAGAAAAAAACTATTTAAGACGACAAATCGCCAGCTGAAATTCAAAAGCAAGCAACTATATCATATGTTTTCTCAAAATATGAGCAGATCCACAACTACAAAGAAGGGTAGCTTGGTGTACAAAGCATCCCATGTTAGTAGGGTTAGGAGAAGGGCCGCACCCCAAGGGGTGTGATGTAGATTGTAGACAACCTATCCTAATGCAGGCATTAATGACTGCTTACACGGCTCAAACTCGTGAACTATGGTCACACGGGAATAACTTTACCGTTGCTCCAAGATCCACAACTCTGGTGTTAAACCAAGTTCAGTTGCTGTGGTATTAGAAGCATTGGGTATCGAAGAAACTAAATCAAATTCATTTTGACAAGAAATAAACTAGGTGCTGCACTCAAACTTTCCTCTTCAATAAGCAGTGAATTCATTGTTTGAATCTCAAACTGGAGGTGTGTATGTATTACCGGACAGTTGTATCATATTCGGAGGATACAAGTTCTTTTTGAGAAGAAAAAAATAATTCTATTAGTAAAGGAAAAATTATCTTATACACAAGCAGTATGTGATTTGCTAGTTTAATGGTTTTAAGAAAGAATTAGCAAATTCAACATAAAGTAACAACAGAGTGGAGGAGTCGGTATCGATTTATGCCAAATAGCTCCACAATAGTCCCCCAACAACATTTTCTAAACGAACCAAAGCCTATCCAAATTGATCTTGTAAAAGATATGTTACGAAACAAATACCTTTTTTTTCAAATGATTCATATTGTCAAGTACACCTGTTCCAAATTTCATCCCCATCAAATGATCAGGCGAATGCCAATATATCTCGTGGTAACAAAAATGTTAATATCATGATCTAGAAACCCAAGATGGTGGCGCGACCTTTTAGACCAAACAAAGTTCCCATACTAGAGCTATTTGGGCCACATGATGAATAGATATACAGGAAAGATCAATCTCACGTGAATTGGTTGAGCTAAATTCTCAAAGTTGGACAAATAAAACTGTTGCATTGAGTTACATATATCATTTAGGAAGATAGTAAGGGATATCTAGAGACGATTCACCGGAGAATATAAAGATAAAAGAGATGAGTAAGAATGGAATGCATGAAAAAAACAAAGAGTTCTTTCTAACTGTTCGTTTGGGCTCGTGTGCTAGTCGAAGCAGTTGGAATATGGCAAGTTGGCTTTTACAAGGGCATATTTTGTTGGGATGGCTGATTTTCTGTCAAGAAATTGTTCCCATGACATACATAGAGCTAGTGAAATTTCAGAAAACGCTTACTTTCATCAAATGTAGTCTCAGATCACAAGGCCGAACTTGATTTCCAATGCAGGCCATAACAAAGTTTGAGTATTGAAACAAGACATCTGCAGCAGCTTGCTTCTTTTCTTTGACCTGAATTATACTCAATAGATAAAAGCTAATAGCAACAAACTAGAAACAAAAATTGCTAAGGAACTATATGCCTAGTTGGAAACCAAAGTAATTAAAAAAATCTATCAATATGAAAATTAAGGAAAAATAATAGTAGTGAGGCGTCGGTATGGAGTGGCAACATCTGCGAATATAGACTAGGCTAAGGGACGGACTTTTAATTTCATTTCATGGGTTCTAAGACTCTAGTATAAAAAAAATCCGGTATTTCGGCATGAAAGTGACACATTTAGGTTGTTCTTATTAAAGGAAGTTAGAAGCTCGGAATAATTTATAGTGTTGGTTTCATGTTTCGAGTCATGCTTATTTTTCTTAGTCAGACGAGTAAAATTCACTGATGTATGCACTACTTGCTGTCGCCTATCAAGCTTGGTGAAAATCCAAACAAATGCCGCCATATACTAGGGAATGTTTATCAATACATGAAACCAATCTTAAGAGGAGAGGAAGCAATGCTATATCTACACAAGACCTATATTTTCTTCTATCCTTAGAGAGTCGAAGGACTCTACCCTCTGCAGATATATTATCAATCAAGTAGCATTGCAAATCGTATCACAGCAAATAAGTTCATTCTTTTTCCTTTTCCTACGTATCTAAAAGCTTCCATAGTCGTGGCAAGGAAGCATTGATCTTACATGTACGACTTATCTCTTCCATTCTTTTTTGGTGAGAAATGGCTGTCCTTTCCTATACTCTTTGGGCTTCTCCTAAATAAATTGAATTCTCATATTTCTTTCTTCAACTCAAAAGATCTTTTTGAGTGTTGAGTTAGTCCTATTTATCTATCAGAGTAAAAGGAAATTGTCTTAGGGACAAAAAATAACAACATACCTACTGTAATCCCACAAGTGGGATCTTGGAGGGGAGGGTAGTGTACGCAACCTTACCCTAACCTTGGGAGGTAGAGAGGTTGCTTCCGATAGACCCTAGGCTCAAGAAAAAGGTCTTAGGGACGAAAAGGTACAGAATAAATCCGATTGGTCCTCAATAACGAACATTTTGTAATGTATGACTCGATATACGTAGATCCAATCCCTATCTTGGAAGGTAGAGAGGTTGTTTCCAATAAGAGAATTGATGATTATTGTTCTCTCAAACAACATCATACCCGGCTTGATCCCACAAATGGAGTTTGCTAAGGGTAGAGTGCGTGTATGCACATCTTACCTCTACATCATGGAAGGGTAGAGAGGTTATTTTCGATAAACCCTCAACTAAAGTGCATCAAATCAATGTATTTACGGAAAAGGGGATATGACAGTGAACAAAACATGCCAATTAATAAGAAAAGCAGTACACAACCTTCAGAGAAAAGAAACAGTAACAACATCAAAAAAATAATGAAGTAACTGAAAGAATATACATATATAAGACTAATATTACGACATACACGATGCTCTCAGGCTCCACCAAGCCTAAACCCACCAAAATGCGAGTCAAATCTCAACTACCTACTATCCTTCTACCCTAATCAAGGACTTCCATATCCTCCTATCTAAGATCAATACATAATAATCTGAAGTTGCAACATATCATGTCTAATCACCTTTACCCAATACTTCTTTCATCTATCTCATTGGATATGTATATTGAAGTTCAATAAAAGCTTCAAATTATCTTCTACGACTGACACGATGCTCACAAGCTCCCATCAAGCCTAAACCCGGCAAAACACGAGTCAAAGCTCAACTACTGCTAACCTCATATCCTAATCCGCAACCTTCATATCCTCCTATCTAATATCCCTCGATAAACTAAAATTATGCCATATCATGTATAATCACCTCTCCCGATACTTCTTCGACCTACCTCAACCTCTCCCCATTCCATAATATTGAAGTTCAATAAAAGGTTCAAATTACAAGACCTACATGAGATTAACCCTTTTTTTCCTCAAACAGTTTCAATTAAAAATTAGAGCAAAAAATTGGCAGCAGTAGTCACAGGATTAAACAAAACATACTAATAACAATGAAATGGAGAATTTTGTTACCTCGTAATCATCTTTCATGGCTGAAATCTGAGTTTCGTCATCCATCTTCTTCCCCAAATCATTAACCTCAATACTTAAATATTGAATGAAATTGTGCTTTTTTTTAGTTATTTGAGAGTAAATAAAATTAGCGTTAATTGAAGTCAAAGACATGAGGCCCATTAGCTCAGTTGGTTAGAGCGTCGTGCTAATAACGCGAAGGTCGCAGGTTCGAGACCTGCATGGGCCATTTTTTTTTTATATTAAGTTTTTATAATTGTTCTATAAACGTTACACAATATTCAAGATTACAAATTTCAAAAGTCTTATAGTAAACATAAATATTATGACATGATTAAAACGACAGTTTTTGCTTTTAAAAATTCTTACCTACTAAAATTTTGTATCTATTTTAACTTTGTTACATAAATTAAAGGAGGGTACTTCATAAAACTTTCTGTTTTTTGGAAATAAACAAAAAGAAAGTTTACTGTTCGTAAACAAAACAGCCATAAATTGACGATGCAATAAGTTTATAAGCACTTCTAATTTTTTTTTATTGGCTTGCGAATACTTGACTTATAAGCATATTGATCCGACACATAAATAAGTCAAAAGATACGTGTATAAGTCAGTTTAACCAACTAAACGGTTCTAAAAACACCGTCAATATGTACAACTCTGGTATACCAACAAAAAGAAGACATCATATACAGAGCCAAACTCAAATCATGGCATTCAATAGTAAACACAGGTTGGACAAATTGACATTTTCTAAGTACACTATATATCACATTGAGAAGCAAGGTAAAGGGTAACTATCACTAGTTTAATTTCTTTTTCACAACAAAAAGCACTATAAACCCCACCCCCAGAATCAAATTTCATCAATCTGCATCATTTCTTGACTACCAACTGAACTTGTTGGCTTACAAAGAAAAATATTCACATCCCTATGATATAAGCACAATTATGACAACAATAAGATTTGGGCATCTCATCACTTCTTGTCTTCTTTCTGTTCCTTGTCCTCTCGTTGTTCCTTGTTCTCGTCATTCTGCTATGATGAAATAGACACAAGTGAGATGGAATGCTAATGAAAACAAAAAAGATACAACGATGTGTCTCGTTATGTCTACTTAAACCCAAAGAAAACATGAGATTCACATTAAAGTGTGACAATACAAGAAGCTAAGTACCTATTGGAATAAGGAATATGACAGGAAGAATACAAACTCCATATTCCTTATGTTGCCTTCCACCACATTGATCACCTCTCTTTCTTGCCTTCCGTTTCTTTCAGAATGACTCGTCCCTAAGGGTCTTGTATAAACATCGTTACTTCAAGAATGATCTCAACTTAGTCTAGAAGTATTTCTTCGATTCTTTCATCTTCATTTTTTGATCATTAGCAAGGTGTAAAGATTGAAATGCTCAAAGTATCTAGTAAAACAAAAGGTAATCCCCTGACCCAAAAGACAGTTATATATATATATACATCATCACTTTCAACCAACTAGTCTGCATAAAAAAAGACCCTTGAATTGCCTTTTAGATACACATTAATACACAACGCAGTAGGTGTGCCGCGATGTCTTTGGTGCCACAGTTCGTAGATTAACTTTCAAGCTCTAGACTATATTTCTGAAACTCAAGGAGCGTGTCTGTTTTGACATCTGAAAGAGCTAACATTTAACTTATCGGCACCAGTAAACAAAGCTGATACATTGTTAGAAATCTACAAACAAATTGACCATATAACATGTAAAAGACACATAGATTAGAAATAGACATGGCACTACACCAAAACTTTAACAACATGCTTTTTAATATAATCTCATCAACCAAATTAACTCACCTCAGACTGACTTTGCATAGAAGCAAGTAAAACTTCAATTGAAGGGTCATTCGGATCAACACCTAGAATCTGGGTAGCAAACATACCATGAAATGAAAATCAAAGGAGATATGAAGTTTGATACCCATAGGATAAGCAGATACTTTGTGATCATACTAATAGGAGCGTCATCTTTTACTCAGCATAGAGAACTTACTGAAGCAAGAATTGATGGCACGAGTGATTGGTTTGCCAACAATTTAGTGACATTTGTCTCATCTTTTGAATTGTCCTGTATGAATAAAAGAAGATCTGCAAGCATAGGAAGCAACAGAACGTATCAGAAAAGCATAGCTTAGCACCTTTGCACGAATGGCTGACATTGTAAGAAGAATTCTGCACAGTTACAGCCATTTGTAGCAATTAAAGTTTTGATAGGACTAACCAAGGTCATCTAAGAGGTAATTAACAGTGACTTGCACCTTTTGTCATTTAAAGATCATTTTGAATGATATAAAGGATGGCAAAGTATGGTAAAAAGGCAGTTCTTCAAATATAAATCACATTTAAACACTGATAATCTTCTTATTTCAAATACATTATGCAAAGTGCAAACTATTTACAAAATGAGAGGGCAATTACCAGAACCTCCTCAAGTGTGAGACAGGCACATATTACAGAATGTATGTAACAACAGTTGGTAAAATTCACCATACAAGAAATCAATTGAAAAGGCAAGTAAAAAGAACTTGACGTTACCAGTTCCAAAAACTTAGAAAAGTATGTCTATGACCTAATGATATAAGCCAACAACAGAATTTGGCATGCCAATATAATAACCAACCTAGTAGCAACTCCCGATCTTCAAAATCTGCTTCTGACATGTCTGTGTCTCTTGTAGCAGTGTTGGAGGAAGAATCATCCCTCGACATTGCAAGTGCTTGTTGTAACAGGGAATGATCATTATCCTGTAAGAGATCAATTTATTTGTTCAGGAGTTAATTTCATTGGAGAGTAACAAAAGGCCAGACATTATAAAACCTACAAGCTTTAACTCATTTTCTTGAAAATTTCTATCTCTACAAGTTTCTCTGCTAGGTATGAGAAGATAGAAATAAAATTTTAGAAGACATCATAGTTACATATAAGTATGCTCCGTGTTAGCAGTCTCAATGGTTGAGGGTACTGGCTATTGTCTCCTTATATGTCATTGGGCAATACTCACCTCGTGAGCTAACTTTTGGGGTGAAGTTAGGTCCAAGATCCCTCTTTCTTCACATGGTTTCAGAACAAGACTCATCTCTATACTTGGTTTACCCAATGCTGGGCCCATCTTACATTGTCCATGCTCCAAATGCCCTTGGCATGTGGATGAGAAATGTCAGGTTCCCACATTGCATTAAGGATATGGGTAATTGTCTCTTTATACTACCGCCTTGGGCAATGCTCACCTATGGGCTAACTTTTTGGGATTGTGTTAAAACTCAAGATCTATCTTCTTCACACTCGAGAAAATAAAGGTTTAAGTAACATCAACTACTACTACTCTGTATCAATCCCAAACAAGTTGAGGTTGAACATATGAATCCTAACTGGCCATGTTTCTTTTTTAAGCTCGACAAAATAAAGGATTCAAGAAATCCCACAAATCAATTTGTACATGACCAATAATTGGCTAATAAGTACAATCCCTCTTATCCTCCTTCCCCCACCTCCTCAATAAAAAGGAAAAAGAGAAACAGTGTATATACATGCAAGTTGCAACCTTCCCAAATTTGGGCAATCAATAGGCACCAGCAACCAGGACAATGTGGAACTTAACACCTCACACATAAGGCTTGGTCTTACTTCCATACATGGTTGTGTGTAAAATCCCTACTAGAGATTCAAATCTCCATATAGTCTCAAGCTCCAATAGGCCGAGAAAAATTGAAGACAAGCCTTAATGATTGCCCGTAAAGGACCTATCATTTTTAACATACATATGTCATGTGCCCACAAATGGAACCGCCAGTACTCACCAAAAAATAAAATGACAAACAAAAAATGAAGATTCGAAAGAATCCCAGTTTCTTCTTTTAATCTATAATTTTTCTAATAACTCAGAAGGTCCTCAGAAATTTCTAAAATAGTGAGACACCAACCAGTAGATCAGCTGCCTTGTTTTTAGTTTCAGACTTTCGAGCACTGACATTTTCAGTCATTGTAACATCCTGGGAAGTTGACTGCATTTCTCCTTTTTCTTGTTTTGCAGCTTCTTGTGCAGCCTTCTTTGCTGCTGCTGCTTGTCTATCCCTTTCCTCCTCCATTGAAACTCGAAGTGCCAGAGCAATCTCAGGATCCAAGTTAGGATCAACACCAAAATCATAGCCAGACCCTGCACCAGAAGCAACCGCAGCAAATCTCTTTCTAGAGTCAACATCTCTAGTAAAGATAGGATTCCTGCCAATTTCAGATGAACAATATGATATGTTATGAAGATTATCCGGTTCAAAGTAAAGATGGTAAAATATTGCTAATAACCTCCCTAGCACATCAGAAAGATCCCTAGCCCCAGGAGGAATATAAATGATGTGACTGTTATCATTGTTGTTAACTGCAGCAACTAATGCCTCCAGCTTCTCAGCCTTCCTGTTATCTTCTTGACCAAAATTAATAACATCAAGAGCTACTCTATGCTTATTCAACTTTCTTCCAATCATCTCCAAGACCCTCTTGTCTTCTTTAACAGGGCTGAACAAATAGTAAACGTCAATACAGAGACAAAAAATCAACAGTTGAGGCAGCAACAATTACTCAGGAAGAAGTCATCACCTGCCAGCAAAAAGAATGATCTTTTGATGCTGCTTTTTGTTTTGCCGATGCTTCAGAGCCAACTGTGCCACCTGGAGTCCAGCAGCCAAATTCATCTCACCACCGATATTTAATCCTGAGAAAGGTAAGAAAAAGCCAATCACATAAGAAACTGAAATGGAACTATTAAAAGGAGATTACTAGACAATATATAGTTAACAAAACATCTGAAGATGACAACGATGTGAGTATCATACAGACATTATAGTGAAGTATACACTGGCTTTAGGAGAATCCTAGTAGCACAATTAGTTGGCAACCTGAACTTTCACCTTATTGGTGAGAATTCAATTCTCCACTTGTAAGTTCTTCCCCCATACCCTTTCCCCTACTAAAAAGAAGAAAAACAGTATACACTGGCAGTGGAAACCCTTTTCTCATCGGGCTAGGATCTATAGCCGTTCGACCTGAGGAAAGTGCA